CCGACGATTTAGCCTTGAAGGTGATGCAAGAATGTCATCCGAACCAAGTAGCTACGATTCAGGAATTGGTGGACGAGTATCAGCTGTTGTGGAAGGACATCAAGAGTAGGGTTGCATCGTTGAGGGCGGAAATCGAGGGACAGGAAAAGATCGAGGTCGACGAGGCTGTGCAGGTGGAAACGTTAAAGTTCGAACAGGATACCGGCGTTCAAGTGGACACGTTACCGAGGTTGTTGAGAATGACTTCGAGCGACGCGTACTTGATCGAACTGGGGACTGCGCTTATCGAATGTAGCGACGCGTTGGACACGCTAGAGATAACTATTACTCCGGATCCTGTCCCGGGACCTACGCTGAACGCAGCTGCTAAGAATATCGTAAGCTTTAATGTAACGTGAAATTGTAATTTATTAACTTATTTTTTTATTATCGATGATATTCTACATATTCTTGGAAATCTCTAGAACAGACAGTAAGAAAAAGAAATTAGTTATTTATATAAAGTAACGAAATTTGAATTAACTAAATGTTGACGTTATTCGGGATGGGATTTTCTTCCATTTCCCTATTTACTGGAAATTTGATGCTTTCTAATTTGTACGAAGCAATAAACTGATTTGCTACAAACTCAACTGTAAACAGTTCGTCATAAGAACAGTACGAATACTTATTGCTTCAACATTTCTATCGATTAATCGTTTTTCTCTTGTTAATTTTGCAACTCATCTTTTTTGTAAAATATCTATTCTAGAGATTTCCGAGAATATGTAAAATGTCATTTGTTATAAAAAAAAAAACAAGTTAATAAATTACAATTTTACATAGTTTTTTTGAAAATTGATCAGCGTACGAATACTTCTTACACCCACTGTAAGAACCATTATATCGTTGAGATTATTTTAATGAAAATATCATATTTCCCCTCGCAGAGTAAACTGATTGGAAGCTGCCAATCGTCGATCGAACTGGTTCGTCATCTGTACGGTTTGCTTATGGAGGATGGAAAGCTGAGTGTAGACGCTGCCAGAGGTAGCCAAGTAACAGCGCTGACGAGCAGATACGAAAACCTTCTCGTACTGGCGAGAACTCGGGAACAACAAATCCGAGAACTTGGGTAACTTGGAAACTTGATTTCCTTTTTCTTTTTCTTTTCAACCGATATACGCTAACAACAAGATTATCTTGCTGTGCGCAGCGACAACGGCAGGCTGACCTGTCCTTTGTGTTCGCGTCGCAATTGGGCGCAACTGGAGAACGATTTATGGCGACTGGAAAAGTGGCTGGAATTTGCGGAGGGCACGCAGAGCGAGCAACATTCGCCGCCCAGCGATATCGAACAACTGGAGGACGTTATACAAGACCATCGCGAATTCTTGCTGGATCTGGATAGTCACAAGAGCATCTTGGTTGGTCTAAATAACGTTGCCGCTCATCTTGCCGATCACACGGAGGATACGCGACGAGCCACGGAGCTCAGAGACAGATTGACCATCGCGAACGAAAGATGGGAGAAAGTGTGCGAGTTGGCTGAGCACTGGCAGGATCTGTTACAGACCGCGTTGATGTCGAATCACCAGTTTCATCGCATCATAGAGGAACTGCTCGTCTGGCTGGAAAAAACCGAAATTAGCATAAGGGCCAGCGAGCCGGTCGACTTGACCGAAACGCCGGAAATCATGACCGCCAAGTACAACAAGTTCAGGTACGCGGAGGATCGATCGAATCTTGTACCATTACGTCGAGATACCTTTCGTAATATGAAAGAGCTACCAATAGGGACGATGCTCTGAACGATCGCCACGATTTAAAGAGATTGTTCGTTTCAGGGAACTGAGGAGCGACCTGGAGCGATGCGAACCACGAGTTTTGTCGTTGCAAGAGTCGGCCAATCAGTTGCTGGACGAAAAAGGCGAGACCAGAGCGTGCTTGCAGGAACTACGACTCAGGTTACAGTCGCTGCGAAGATTAACAGGAATATACGCGTTAAAGTTAGGATCGGCGCTAGGAATGGATCCACGAGACGTTGGACTCGCTGCTGCAACCACGTCTCTCGCTTCCCTTTCTCGCGACGTAAGTTACACCGCGTCATCTCCTCTATCTTTTTACCTTTACGTTTACTCTTACGAGTAGTTTATTTTCACGGTCAGAAACTTGAAACTGTGTAAAATTCGACGTGTAAGGCATCTCGATCGAAAATTTAGCAAATCGCAAGCACCGTATACGTACATATTTCCAGTAGGTTCTAGAAAAATTGACAAAATTTTACAGGAAACGTCAATCCTCAGAGGTTACTTGCCGATTCTCGATGGTTCTTGCTTCGTAAATGTTAGCCTTCGGTGTAGACCTGTGCACAACGTCGTAGGATCACGTTAATCGTTCGTTCAAACGCGAAGCACGGAGTCGAATATTAATTCGACCAACGACCAATGCACGCGTAATTATTCGAAACAAACTATTGGAAAATATCGATTACATCTTTTACACTGTTGGTAGTGTATCGACGGGGATTCATAGTCGTCTCGTTTAAATTCTCGTTCACCTAAAATTATTAATAATCGATCATCCCTTTCTAGTTCGAATTAAGTTATCGTTCCGTGCCTCGTATCGGTAGCATTCACACGCACAGTACCTTATCGTTTCTGTTTTCTCTTTTATTGTATTGTAGCTGCTCGACGAAGCTGCCTCTGGAACCGTTCGGCCCCACGACGCCGACGCACCCGGCACAGAGTACGTTCTTTCACTTTCTGTTTTTATTTCCGAGCAATGTTTCCTAATAAGTTTACGATCGAATAGCACATCGTTATCATTATTTATGCCGTATCGCGCCACTCGGTTGCATCGCTAACAGAAACAATTAGGAAACGCTGGCTCGATCAAACTCCATTTTTCTTGCCTACTAATTTTACATAAATGTAAATGCTTGTAAATGGTGTAAATGCGTAAAAGAAAAGCTTAGCAACTGATTCTGGTTGAATATACCTGTTATTGTTATGCTATATAGGTAGAAAATTGATGGAGACATCCAGTGATATACAAGTAATTACACGTGTTTCAGTGGTGACGACGCCGACGGTCACCGAACGATATTTTCTCGGGGATATCGTTTCCTGGGTCGAGTATTGCGCGTTTCCTTGCCAATTCAAGCGCTGATGCTGGCAGTCCTTGGCGTCGCAACGTTGGTACCGTCCGCGGAAGAAGACTACAGCTGCATGCTCTCGAACAACCTCGCGAGAAGCTTCACGCCAATGGTCGTCTATCCGAACGGGCCACCGCCGATCTAACGATAAAGAGGCCCGATCCGTGCTCCAACGACTTTGCGAGCTTGAAACGATCGTTGAGCCGAACCGACCATAGAAGCCGCGCGAACCGAAAATCGCGAGATACCGCGATCCTGAGATGGGCAAATTTCTTATCGAGATAACAATTTCGAATAACCAATAAACACTCGTATTCGAACGTATTGTTTTATCCGAACGAGACTTTGGTCGTGTTTTACGCGATCGATGGATTTACGTTGCTGTCTGTTCGGCCAGTCTGAACTAGAAGTCGACGGATCGCGCGAATCGTCGTTCCAGCTAATCGATCGTTCCCCTCGACCCACGTTCCTCTTCCTGGACGACGCCGACGATCGAATCGTCGACGCTCTCATTGACGACGATGAATCATTTTTACACCTTGCGATAAAAAGTTTCTATTTGTAGTAATCAAACACGTTACACGGACCAAAACGATCGTCGCCGCATGGCCAGCATCCGTTTATTTGTCGTTCTGTATAATCGTCATACTGCGCGCGATATTCCTGTTTGACGAGCTCGCGGGCTCGAGATGTAACACTTTCAATGAAACAAAAAGGCGGTCCACGACTCGTGCACGCCTTCTTGCACGATTGCACGGTAATCGACGGATCTGTTTTCGGTTCCGATTATGTTTGTCCGACATTCCATGTAACATTACTGTCTTTGTATTTATACATATATATATATACGTAATGTAGATATTGTTCCATTTCCCAATCTTTTTGTTCATTTGTATATCGAGATAGAGAGAGAGCGAGTGAGAGCGAGAGAGAGAGAGAGAGAGAGAGAGAGAGAGAGAGAGAGAGAGAGAGGGTTAATGTCACATGGAATGCGCGAAAACGTTGACGATTAATTAATTACGATTATTACGAGATAACGAATCGCTTGTGTTTGCGCAAGTACACACGAAACAAGTTCCCCGCTCGTTTCGCATTCACGCTAGGAATGTAAGCGAAAGAAATACGACTTGTCCGACTTTATTTTTTATACCTTACGTTTATATGTCGAGAGATATCGAACGGTTCGATGTAATTCGAAAACGAAACGTCCACTGAACGGTACTTTAGCGTAATCGCCCATGCGAAAATAGTCATTGGTGCTAGATCGGTCGATAGAAATAAACAATAGTAATATATAAGTATGTACGATTATCGTTGAGGTTGTACCAAATTTGTTCTTCTTGTTTGTTTTGTATAGTTTGGTTTGGTTTTGTACGGTCATTTGAAAGAATAATCGAAAAGACACGTACACGCGTCACGCGAAAATGGTATCTACCGTGAAACCGACATGTTAACACGCGTTCTTTCCGGACGAAACCGACTCTGGACACGCACAAAACGATCACCAAGTTGATTCATGCCGGGTACAAAACTAAACGAGCGTATTTAACGGCCCGCTAGCTTCGCTTCCTAAATTATCGATAACTTGCTTGCTGCGCGATCGAGCTTTGTTATGTATTTTTATAAGAACAGAGCTTTCAAAATGCGGTATACATCTGTCGATGTAACATAATTACAATGAATTGAAATATACAGAAAGTTGAACGATACAACAAAATTGCCCGTCTACCTTGTTACTCCTTTTATAGCTGTTTTTAGTTTTTCTTTTTTTCTCTCTCTCTCTCTCTCTCTTAGAGCACTTAGATACTCTGCAACTTGGAACGAGAAAAATTACTCCTCTCTGGAACATCCTAAACCTAAACATCAAGTTGGTAGGATGAATTAAAATCTCAACGATAAGTGACGAATCAAATGCACGTGTGCCTGGTGCATGTATTTAACAAGTATAATTTGTCCGAGCGCGACGGCAATTAAAGACGTTTCGCAGGATGTAATCGTCGCGATTGTGACAACGCGATCGCGGCACGACGCCGACGCCGACGTCGATACTTGGCTCGCAGGCTAAGCGCCGCGATTGACTTTTATCAGTGGCGCCTGAGAGATCTTGGTTACCCGCGAAAGCTTCCTACCGACGAGTTGATATAAATTGAGATAGGCATGTATGTTCCGCGTTTGCTTTTCGAGTTCATTTCTGCCGGGGTATCTGCTCATTATACCCTGCGTCGAGGCATCGTTGTGCCAACAGCTAACATTGACTTAAACGATCATCGCAGCCATCGCGGAGTAGGCCACTCGTAACATCCATGCAAACCGGCAAACAAATTCGTGCATTATTAAATATTCAGTCTCGTTCCAGAAAACTTTTTATATTTATCCCGGGATCGTTCTCGATGTTCACTGTTTGCAAGGATTACCTTCGTATTTTCGCTCCGTCAGAGTTACTTCCGATAACATGTTCGACGCTCGAGCAATAACAATAACGTCGCGATAATAAAATCGCGTTGCAGTGTCGGTCGCACCAATGCACCGCACATCTTTCGCGAGACGTTGTGCATGTTCCAACGTAAACATAGCGAGTTTCGCAATTTTAAGAAACGAGAAAAAGTTTGAGAGAAAACTAATCGACTCGTTGTGAATAAATTAAAAGATAAATCGTCACTTTTTAAACTGTAATGTTCTCACGAGTGAAGAAAGGGATGAATCAGCGATCAATTAAAACATATTGAAATCATTGATAAAGATTGACATCGCTATACCCATTTCAAGCGTTACATACCACGTACGTGTGTACCTGCGTATCAGCAGATTTATCACTATTTTTGTCTAATCTAAATTAAATCGGCACATGTGCATCGGGATCATATCTAATTAAGTCTGTCCACAGCTGGACGGATGTGTTATGAGTAAATATCGAAGAAACGAAACAGTTTCTGCGCAAGCGTCTCATTCGCACCGTGTCTAGCGATAACGTAGATACTTGAAATTAGTGTTACGCGGAAACGTTAGACCGTCAAACACAAGGTTTTCGGTAATCGAGGAGCTCGTTCTTCGCTCATTCGACAAGTTGACATTTTGCCGTAACATGTCGTCCGAATCGTACAAAAGAAAAGTAAAAAGTTTAAACGACATTGTCGAGGTCTTTGGAACGCGTAACAACACAATCAGGAGTATCCAGTCGGAGAATTCAAAATTTTATACGACAAATACTGCGGAATCCTATAAAGAATTAAATCGAAGCATAAAGAACGCTAGAATTAAACGGAAAGATGAAAATGAAAATGAAAATGAAAATGAAAAAACCGTGAGTGACCCGATGGAACTTGCGGAACAAACGAAATCGTTGAACGTGGATCTGGGCGTACAATTGACAAATGATTCAAAGGTAATTCCCTAGCGAATAGGAATTTTTATTTAGTTTTTGGTTAACAATAAGACTTTCCTCGTTATTAGACCAGCCCACTCGATATACCGAACTTGACGGACGCATTATTCGAAGAAGAGAAACCGAATCATAAGCGAAACTCGACACACGTTTCGAGGAAACGGGTGAAAATGCAAAAACGAATTCTATCGATAGGCGATTCGTTCCTCTCGATGATTTTAATTACTCCACTGGCCGTTGGTTTTTGGGAAGGTACGTGGACCATGATGGATCTTCACGGCGAATGGTGAGCTTCAAAATTATCCGCCATATCCATGGATAATGGTTAATGGACTTTGACGATTCGTATCTCTTTCGTTGGTTAAAGAACAAACTGTAAAACTGTATATATCGCGTCAAATTGATAGTGTTCGGTAGCGTAACGCCTATACTCCCTCTTAAAGGTTGCTATAAATGTCACAATTCAAAGAAAGAAATATTCAATTATTCAAACGCAACGCTCCGACTGTCAGCAATCAAACGATAAAAAAGATTCGTTGAGTCTATGTTTGCTCTGAATGGATTCAATGCAAAGTCTCGGCGAACGATTATTATCGAATAAAGTCACAAGCTACGTTTCGTGAAATCGCATTTCCTCTGACGTTCCAAGGTTCCCCGGAGTATTCTGTTTCCTTTTCGGCGTCCTGCTACATACCAGCTTCGCGATTTTCAAGAATTTTCTACAGGATCGTGTTGCTGACGCGTGGCGAAAAAAAACCTGTTCGAGCGTCGCCGTCTGCAAGCTCGCACAAATTTTGTACACTTACATCTTCGGTGTCGCCTGCATCTTGCACTGGAGAGGAGGCTGGATCGTTTTCGACTGGTTCTTCGCCGGTCGTATTTGGTAAGATCAGTTTCTACAACAAAAAACTCCTATGAAAAGAAAGAAAGAAAAATAATAATAAACATGTTTGCACGTTACTTCCATTTTACCAATTTGATTCAGGATAACGATGACCACAGTGTTAGTAGTACTAACGAGTCTGACCATTTTGCGTTCAGTTCGAAATCTCATTGCGGTCCCCACAGTGGTGTTCGTGGATAAACGTAATTACGTCTTTTGGTTCCCTACAAGGTACAAGTTGGTAAGTTTACACGCAAAACAATCTATCGTATCATATATTGTATTATGTATAGATAAGTAGGTACAATAAGTAGGTACGTGTACAATAGATAGAATAATACAATAAATCTGTAAAGATTTATTCCGTAAAATTTCCGTAATATATTTTTTTTTGTCTACGAATCAGCTCACGCGACAAAGAAGAAACGTAATCGTAACGTAATCGCGGTGCCGGTATTCGAAGGGGTTCCTTTTCGTGGCTAACAAAGCCTGTCGTGAAAAAAATGACGGGTCAAGGTGAGAGGATCGTTCCAATCCAAGCCTGATTGGCGTACAAAAAGGTGCCGATTAGCGATGCGTTCGGCACGACAAAAGCTCGATGAATCTGGTGGACAGGAAACGCCACTCAGAAAAATTAGGCTTCAAGGTGGCTCAACGCGTGTAGTCTCTTCTCTGATTAATATCTTGTTTCTTATCGAACAACACCGGTTACGGAATTGTTAATTACCGTCACTGTCGATCACAATTTACGCGGCTGCTCTTTCGATCGACTTGCTTCTAAATATCGAACAAAGAATACAGGAAATGCTTTCGACTCCTGCGAGTCCCCTTTGTAACACCTTTTGAAATTCAATAATCGAGTACGTGTACGTCGTACATATTTGTGGCTAAAGTAAAACTGATATCAAGAATGAAAGTAAGGGAACAGGGGATGGCGTTAAAATATCAGTAGCATCGCGTCTTTCGATCGAAATGCAAATCGGTAATTTTGTACACTCTCGATCATTTCAATACTCGTTTAATCGCGGGTGTGCGATCTTACAGACGTAAGATAAGATTAATTATTTATAGCCAAAACGACAACCCAAAGACGAGCAGACGACATATAGGAATACGGTGAAAATATAGCGATTCGCGATACGATATCGAATAGATTACGAAAAAACTTGGAATAGCATCGAAATGAACCGTTACGTTACGTTAGGCCAATCTAAATCATGATACAGCACTGTGTGTGTGTGTGTGTGTGTGTGTGTGTACATGTATGTACACGTACCTACGTAGGAAGAATGATTAAGCAGCATGCATGATTGACGAACGAATGCAAAACTAGGGATACCTAAACGGAGAGCGAACGACGCCGACGCCGACGTGGTAAACAGTAGGTGTAACGTATAACGAGAAACGTTAATCGAGTGATCGATAAATTCGAGTTCATCGACCGAACGGAAAGCTCGAAGCAATGAAATTTCTTAACGATCGGTTGCAATCCTTGCTATCGTTAATTATTATACAATCATCGTATTACTCGTATGGAAAATGCTTGGAACGCAAGCATTACGTAACGGATATTCCCGTTTTCGGGCTTTCTTTGCGAATGACCGACGGGTATCGAAAGCTCGTCCCCGCGCGTTTGTTAATCAAGCGTACGCGTAGCTTTACGGGCAACACGCAAGTGGGGGGTTGCCGGAGAGATCGCGGAAGGAAGGGAAGAGAGCAGAGCAGAGCAAAGCGGAGCGGAGCAGAGCCGAAGAGAGCAGAGCAGAGCAGAGCAGAGCGGAGCAGAGCACCGTACTATTCTCTATGCCATGGCCCGTATGACGAAGCCGTTCATGATAATGCGATAGTGTTGGTTTGTGCTTAGCACTTGATAAAAGATAGCGGTGACTGAACAGATGCCAGTACTCACCCGCAGCTCGACCTGTCGGTTGAGAGTCGCGTACTCGCCCCGTGTACACTGTACATCGGTACATCATCGGCAACGCAACGGTGTTACGCTCGTCGTGAAAGTGTCTAAAAAATGCTGACGATTCGAAGAAACTTGGAAAGACAACCAATGTGAAGAAGGGGATACATCGTCGCGAGCCGAGACCGTTGCGTGTCGTCGTCGTTGTACGAGTTCTCTACGGTTCTCGATTGTCGATTCTCGATTCTCAATTGTCAATTCGGAATTGGATGACGACAAATATTTGATCGTTCGATGCTACAAATATGTCTAGAGGACGGCACGAAATTTACCTGGACCCGTTGAAAACGATCACGGAACGCCACCGTTGGCCAGCGAGTACCGCGAGGAACATGTAAAACGCGAGAGAAACGGTCAAGCGAATCGAGTTCGTTGGATAGAATATGACCATTGCGATCCAGCGACAATATTACTTCAAAAAGATTCGCTGTAAACGTTGATCGTCGCCGATAGGAGATCGCGGAAATAACTCGACCAGTTAAACGTACCTGCTGCCACGGGAATTAAAGATTGATCGCGAACGGCCGCGAGAACGATGGCCAAGTGTTCGATGTTGTATCGAGATCGAGTTTCGTCGTCGACGGGATCCATTCGAAAAAAATAGAAATCAAAGTGAGGGGTGTTAGCATTACCAAGTGTCGAGGTACGGATCGAGGTTCGATAATCGTCGTTCATCAAGCATAATTGATAGACCGTTGGTGCCGTCGGTGAAATCGTTGAATGCTGAAAGCTGCTGCTATTATAAAAAGGACATCGCTCGAAAGGACTCGACCGAATTCAAAGTATGATAAGCTCGGGCTGTAGGTTGAACTGTTCGAAAGCTCGGTCCGAAGACATGCATCGCCAGAGAGAGCGCACCGTCCGCGTCGCAGCCTCGAATGATGCATGATGAGCGGTGCGACTAGACTCGATCAGGATTGGATGAGAATGGTCGAGTTACGCGGTGGCACCGGAATGACGAGCGGACTGAGCGCTCGGTCGTCGAGTCGTCTCCATTATACGATACTCACGATTTTGGACACGGTGTTCTCCGCTACTGTGGCCGCGCCGGCGGTTGTCGGTTACTGGAGGGGTACCTGGGGCCTGAGCGACGTCTACGTCTACCCCGAAGAACCGGTGCTCAGCAGCCTGACTTCGATAGCGATCGGCTTCATCGGATTGTACGCCTTCAACGTCACCCAGCATCTTCTCAACGAGCTGCTGCACCCGGACAAACACCGACTCTCCTATTACCTCGGTTCGAGACTCTATACGGCGGTTTATGGGTTTTGCTGCGTAAACGCTTGGCGTGGCGCCTGGCAGGCCCTCGACCTCTACACCGAACTCACGCCTAGCACGGTTTTCGCCACCACCGGCGTTAGTCTTCTAGCACTTGCCATCATGCGCGCCATCAGGAACATTTCCGCGCCACCCTTCTCCCTTTGCCTAGACTCTTGTCCGGGATACTTCGAAGTGCCGACCATGTTTCGCGTCAACGTAAGTACAACATGTAAACCGACCTACCGACAGATGAATCGAAAACATTGCCCGACCATGCGCCGATACAAATGCTCCTTACAAATAGGAGAACGTTTAACATGGTAGCAACTGGAAGAAACGTACACGTTTGTTCGTACGAAAGAAAACTATTCGCTGAAATTCATTAAAATATTGTAATGAACGCTACGCTTTCTTCGCCAAATGTTTCGCTCGAGTAATATCGCGAATGCATTATTACCGAAGTTAGGATTACGGTAACCAGACATAGACACGAAAAATGAATTAATTTTGTTCGATTATTTCCGTGAAATTGGAGGAATATGTGCGATGGCTAACAGCCTTAATATGTCTGTTGTTCTTTTCATGACTCACCTTTGTGCCATTTAAAAGATCAGTCGTTGCAATTTTGCGGATGCGCAATCTAGTTTGAACACGTTACATTATAAGATACCGTGATCGTCTCCATTTTTCTTTTGTTTTTCTTGTTTTCATTGTTATTACATTGTACTTGATATCAAGGGCAGATTGCCCGTTAATAAATTATTATTATTATTATTATTACGATTAAAGATCTCGAATCGATCAACACCGACGCCGACGCGACGAATAACTGATTTGATCGGAAACGATGGTAAGACAGGGTAAACGTAAAGTAGGAAACGCAAAAGCCTAGACAGCAGATTTTTACGTATCGCTGAAGCTCGATCCGTGTGTTGCACGACATCGGTGTGCAAGGTATAAGCACAGTTTCCGGCTGTCTCTCCCGAGTCCCGACAATCGAACAGCATCGCGTCCGTGCAGTTTGCATCCGCGCGAGCGCAGCGTGCCACTGCACCGATCACTCTGCCACTTGTTCGATGCTTTCTCGATGCTCTTTCGATCGAACCAATTAGGAATCCCTTCGAAACTAGATGTAGACGCCCTTTCTACGTTTTATCTTGTGCATACATTTCGTATCAAATTTTCAATCCTATTATATTATATAATAATTATTATATATTATACTTCGAACATTGGCGAATTTGTCAATCGATATGTCGTATCTCGTTCGAACGAATCGATTTCAATTTTTAACCATCAAAGATCGACGAACGAAAATTCTTGGAAAGAATTTGATGATTTTATCCTTAACAGGTACTATGGTTCTGATCTTTGCGATGGGTATCGAAACAGTGGAGCGAGTCCTCTCTGTCGGTTAAAAATCGAGGACAGAAGGGTGTCGTACAGCTACAAAGTAAACGGGTGATACACTCGGGCACGCGAGACGCGTGTTTACCTCGCAAACGGTACGTCAATCGAAAAAGCGTTCGAAGATCGAATCGCGAAAGTGATGATTGTTCCCCAAAGAAACGGTACACACAGCTACGCGAGCTCGTCGAAAATCCAACGTAAACGGAAACGTAAACATAAACGGTAATCTATCTTTCGACCTGTCTTCTTTCGCGATACTGTTATAAATAATAATAATAATAATAATAATAATAATAATAATAATAATAATAA